AGGCCACTGAACAAGCAGTTAGCTGGTAACAACTATGGGTAGGTAACCACTTGGGCTGAATTTGAGCGAGTGACCTAGAAGTGATAGGTTTCTTCATTATTTTTAGTCAAATGTAGATGACAGGTAAGAGTATGCACACAGTATACATCGTTATTATAATCATGCCTACCACAAGTTTCCCTGTGTTTTCAAAGGAATATGATATTCATCTTTGCTTACTGTCCTAAACTGTTGGACAGTGTTTCTGCATGCTGTTAAACAGCTACCACAGAGGCAGCTGAATTTCAGTGGTGATTGAAATGATTTCTATGTGTACTTTAAATTGCTCTAAAAAGTGACTAAAAAAAAAAAATAGCTTCAATGGGCTTCCATATCTCTGTGAATCTGGATCAAATTTTGTTTGACACTTTAAAAAAATATGCTGTTCTGACTACCAGCCTTGTAAATATACTGATCTAAAAGTCCCGACCTTGCTTGCTTGCTTGTGTAAATTACTGTATGCAATGAAGACTGCAGTTGGAATTAATAAACCGTTCTGTTTGATACAGGAGCCAGAATTAGAATCTAGCTCGTTTTCCCATAATTGTGTTGGTTTTGCAAAGCCAACAGGAGTGAAAAGCAGTAAAAATAAGTAGCTATGATTTGTAATGACAGGCGAGGAAAATGTTTTGAGTACAGAGGTTTCCCTTTTTTACAGACCCACTTTTCTGACCGTAGATGCATTTTATGTTTGAAAAGCGCTTTTTGGTGCCTTCTGGAGGAAAGATGCTGTGTAAAAGTAAGTCATGATGTGTAAATAAATGTTAGGGCCAATGTAGTATGATTTTTTAAACTACTGTAGTAGTCCCAATTTGCCCTGTGACATTGAAGCTGTTCTTATGTAACTTCAGCATCTTCTGACAATAACACATCATGATAATTCTATTTTTAGAGTTTTATCAGCTCACAAGATGGTACCAAAAATGACCTTTCCTCCTCTGCGTCCCTTCAGCCACTTACCCTTCACTAGACCTGGTGTGGATAGCAGCATAGACCGCTGTCTGGAACTTGTCCTATGCTTGTTCTTTTATCCTACTATTACTTGCCTTCGCTATCTGTGACGCGCTTCAGGCTCTAAGCTGTGGACAGCAGTTGCAATCTCAGCAATGGCTTACTGCATCAAAGCTTAATGTGACAAATTTGAATATTTGGAAGGATAAACCTTTAATCCTACTGTGTGCCCAGGTATATGTGCTAACAAGTACGTTGGTGCTTAGATAACTGCAATACAACTTGAAAGTAGCTTTGGAAACAAGAAAAGTTCATAGAGGTGGAGTTTTTGGAATGGGTAATATATTAGAGAGGACATGGTGTTTGCATATAAGTGTATAGAAAGACTGTCTCCTCGTCTATACAAATGTCACAAGTGTGCATTTTCCTAGTTCAAGTACTATATTATATGCACCCTAGTCTTCCTCTGATATTGTGAGGCATTCCAATTCCCGTGATGGTATGACACTGTTTTCAATGACAAGCTGGGTGGGGTAATATCTTTTCTTGGACAAACTTCTGTTGGTGAAAGAGACAAGCTACGCAGAGCTCTTCTTCAGGTCTGGGGAAAGTGACAGCTAGATACAAGGTGGAACAGATTATTTAGCATAAATAGTTAACACATCTATTTTCGAACATTTATGACCATGAGACATTCCCCTCGTGGACTGAAGTTTTCCATGCATGGTCTATCCTGAGACCAAATGTTTGTGCACCTCCTGGATGTAAAACTTGAGCAAAATCCCTCCACTGACTCTTTAACATAAGGGCTAGAGTTTGAAGCTGATGCAGGAGGAAGTCTGTTTACTCCATTTTCCCAACTAAACTGTATATACTATGCTAACCCAGTTATAAGGGCTTGGGTTGGAGAAATAAGACTAGGATGGGACACAGGCATTGCCCAGCATCCTAACTCTAGCCAAAATTGCTGTATGGCCTTGAGCTAGTCATGCCCCCTCTAAGCCTCTACTTCCCTATCTGTAAAACTGGGGAGATGATCCTGGTCTAGCTGACTGGAGTGGTGAGAATTAGTGAATGTTTATATAGCACTCTGAATGTTAAGGGCTAAGTTTATATTGTTTACCACTAACAAAATGTAATAAAAAGGCAGAGGAAAAAAATAGATTTTTGGGTTTAAGTAGTAGGAATAATAGTGGTATGATACTTGAGAGAATTGCGTTCTCCATAAGAGATTCTCTCTCTACTGTTAACTTCAGTGTTTTCATCTCCCCTTCACATACTGTCCCATGGACGCTGTAGACCTAAAAACAACCAATGTCTAATTACATTTTTTCAGTCTAAATAATTACTTTATTCTCAGTGTACTGAGAGGGAAAACAGAGAAGCATGGACCATCTGGGAGTTTCAAACAGCAGATTCCCCTGTAGCTATCGTTGCCTTATCAATTTAGTAAGTTGATGCTTCAGAAAGGTTTCAGAGTGATAGTTCAAGAGATTGAAGTCCCCTGACTTCCTGCAGAGCAAACAGAACATTAGCATTAGTTCTGTGAGAGTTGCTACATGGCCCTGCCAAATGTGCACCTCACCCCTGAGCAAGAGGGAGATGGGAATTATTATTTGCTAAGCCCTGCCCCTGGTACTGTAGAAATAGCAAATAAAGACAAGCTTTGCCAGAAGGAGTTGAGAAGGTGACACAACAGGAGACCCAGAGACAGGTGTTAATGTTTCACTTTTTCATTTCTCCCATTATCACAAAATATTAGGGCAGACAAGGCAGGTGGCTGATGTAGGCTAAAGGTTGTAGGCATCATAGAACAACTAGCTCAGTCAGTCCTTGGCCTCTCTGCTGTCAAGACTCCAGCTGGGATGCCAGTTATGAAGCAGCTATCTGGCTGCCTGGAACTATGCTGAGACTGCCATCTCATTTCACATGGGCCACAGACCAGCTTTCAGACGATAACAGGGCTTGGGCCAAGCTCCAGTTGGTAACCTAGAGTTCAAAGGCTGCATATCCCATTATCAGTTCCCTGAGTCATTCAGCCTCCACCCCACCGTACGTAATGTGGTTTTTACATCAAGTTATGCATTCCTTTGAGGAGGAGAAAAAGGGCTCAAAGCTCATCCCTGCAACCTGCCTCCACGTGCTAGCACATCAAGAAAGTGCAATACGGACACTGGACATGCTTACAATAGGAAATACTTACTACACACCTACCCCTGCTGATAATTATATTTCAGCTTTCTCTAGTGCTTTCCACCTAAGCAACCCAATGGCTGTTCTGCAGCCATTAATAAATTAAATGTCACAACACCCCTGGGAAGTAGAGAAATATTATGATCCCCATCACACAGCTGGGGCAACAGGGCACAGAGCAGCTACTGCCCATGAAAATGACCTATCATTTGAGTACCTCTGTTGTCTGACTGCCCTGCTTTAGCTATGTGGGATCCAGCTTTCAGAAGTGCTGAAAACTACCAATCCAGGGGAAGTCAATGCAAGCTACTGGTGATCAGCCCTACATCTCTAAATGGGGTACCCAAAAATGGAGAGACCCGATCTTGGCGATCAGTTCTGAAAATTTGCACCTCAGTGAATTGTGTAAGGCCACGCAGCAAGCACGAGGCAGAGCTGGGACCAGAAGCAGAGGTTATACTGGTTTTCCCTCTATTCTGTACGTGATATCTCTGTGTGTGTTATAGATTAACAAAGGGACTTAGGTGTGGTGATGCTGAGCATTGCCCCACCACACTCTTAGGCAGCTACAAAATTGCTGGCATCTAGGCTCCTTTTTCTATGAATGGGGAGAAACAGCACCTCAGAATGGGACCCACACAAACACTAGGGGGTCCCTGTTTAAGCTAGCCAATGAGAGACACCGAGCCTAGATGTCCATGCTAGGCACCTAAAGCCAAACTCCCCCTGGTTGGGATTCTCAGCTGCCAACCCCCTCTTGAGGTTACACACTTAGGTCATTTTAGCAAGAAGCCAGGGGAAGAGAGTTGGGAGGAGGAGGAGCACCACCCTTATAACTATTAGCCCAGTGGGTAGATTACTCACCTGTAGGGTTGCCATCTGTGAGGTACAAGAGATTGAGATCGCCAGGATGGTCCTGAGCCTATAAAACTGGACAGCTGGCAGTGTGTACTGAGCACCCTGTACAGCTTTCCCAGGACAGCTACTTCAAAAAAGGGGTGGTCCTGGGAAAAGGTGGCAACCTTACTCACTGGGATGTGGGACACCCCTGGTTTGTCCCCTTCCTCACCTGAGTGGGCGAAGGGATTAACTTTGATCCACCATCTCTTAGACGAGTGCTTGAACCACTGTGTAATGGGATAGCCAGATGGCTGGGGAGGGGACTCCCTCACTCTTCCTGTTGAAGCGATTCCACTTTGGCTAAATAATGAAAGGCCCATTGGGCCAGAGAGAGAGCATGCAAACATGAGAAAGACTCTGTAGCCCTCTGGCTAGCGCAAAGGAGATTGAGGATCCAGTCCCTCTCCTCCAATGACTTCTTAAAATTATTTATCCACAGTGGAACAGCTTTGACAGGAGACTGAGAGATCGCCATCTCAAAATAGCCCATAGCCCCGTGGCGAACGCACTCTCCTGCAAGATGGCAGCTTATAGTTCAAATCCCTTCTTTCCCCCTCAAGTGGAGGAATTTAAACTGGCGGTCTCCCACAACCCAGGTGAGTACCCTCCAGTTGGCTAAAAGTCATGAAGGGGCTCGTCCTCTGCTGCCATCTTGTGTAAGCTCACCTATAGAGGGACTGAGCCATAGATGAGCTCAGACCATGCTTACTGGATCCAGTCCTGTAGGTGAGTTAGGTGGAGAAATGCCTATTTCCCCCTCATTCATGCCTGGCTCTGGGGCTTAGGTGTCGGGACACTTGGCATGGATCTGTGGTGCCTATGCCCAGAAGTGAAAATATTGATGCCACGGTATGCATCCGATGAAGTGAGCTGTAGCTCACGAAAGCTTATGCTCAAATAAATTGGTTAGTCTCTAAGGTGCCATAAGGTGCCACAAGTACTTTCTTTCCTTTTTATTGATGCCTTGGGAATTTTTATTGCAAAAACTTAGGTGCCAAGTGAGTTTAGGGCTTGATGGCTGCTGATTGGATGTTTTGGGAATCCCAGTGGGGCCTCATGCTAAAATTTAGGCAATGGAAGTGATAGTTAAGTGCCTAAGTCCTTTTGTGAATCTAGCCATACAAGTTCAATATTCTCTGGTAACCATTTTGCAACCCAGAAACAGGTGTCACCATAACACCTTCCTTGGAAAGCCAATTAACAGTTGAAATCCTAGCTTGGATTATTATGATCAATAATACCATAAGCCTTAATCATGCTGACACTGATGTTGGAAGCTTACCCAAGGTGGCACTTTATAAAGGCTGCAGTACTGAGAATAGTATAGCCAGCTTCTGCTCAAATGTTAATAAGGAGGTGAATTTCAAGAGGGGAGCCTCAAAGGAAGCAAAACTTACTTGTAAGACCAAAAATACCTCTGGAACTGCAACCATGAATGGAACAGAGGGGCCAAATTTCTATGTGCCCATGTCCAACAAGACAGGGATAGTACGGAATCCATTTGAGTATCCTCAGTACTACCTAGCTGACCCGTGGAAGTTCTCTGTACTGTCTGCTTACATGTTTCTGCTGATTCTTCTTGGCTTCCCTGTCAACTTCCTGACTCTGTATGTCACCATCCAACACAAGAAACTCCGGACACCCCTCAACTACATCCTTTTGAACCTGGCCTTTGCTAACCTCTTCATGGTCTTTGGAGGATTCACCACCACCATGTACACCTCAATGCATGGCTATTTTATCTTTGGGACAACTGGCTGCAACATTGAAGGCTTCTTTGCTACACTGGGTGGTAAGTTTTCTACATGTGTAAATAAACAATGCTTACCTTAAACCTTAGTCCATCCTGTGCTTTGCTGTACATTGGGCTACCCACATTTGCCATCCTTGCCTGTCAACTGGCCTTCTCTCCAAATCTTCCCATTTCATGTTGAGGTGCTTGATGTCATTCAGAACTGTTCGCTTACATGTTATTCACTGTCTTCATCTTTCTTCTTGCGTTTTCTGGCTTCCATTCAAGAGTGGTATTTGGTGTAAATAATCAAGAGGCAATTTTAAAATCTCCGCCTTTTGGGTTTCCCTCAAGATTTTAGGAAAGAGAGATAAATCAGATGATTTCAGTGTGCACTCTAAAGGGCAGCTGGAATAGAGAGGTGTAAATAACCAAGAGGCAATTTTAAAATCTCCGCCTTTTGGGTTTCCCTCAAGATTTTAGGAAAGAGAGATAAATCAGATCATTTCAGTGTGCACTCTAAAGGGCAGCTGGAATAGAGAAACTGCATTGTAATTTGGACTAATTTAACGTTGTGATATTTCAAGGCAGGAAATAAATGGGGGAGAAGAAATAAAGCACCATGATTTTCTGCCTTCTTTTAGCACTTTGGGGGAAGTTTAGCTAGTGAGTATCCTGAAAAATGTAGAGTGTAGGATTGACAAGTGACCTGCAACAGATTTTAAAATGTTCAGTTTGTATGCTTTTTGTCTTGTTCTTTTAACCTTAGAAATAACAAATCTGGTTTTCCCTGGTGTTGCCTGAGGACTTTCTGAGAATCTCAGATCATGTCTGTTGTGAACTCTCATTGAAGAGGCAGGGTTATTTAGCCTTTAACAAAGTCATCCTTTCTTCCAATATCAATCAGGCTTTAGGCTAAACTGTGGGACTAAAAAACCCTTCCCCTCTCAGTTCAGTTCAGTTTTCAGATATCTGTCTTGTGAGGTCATTTTATCAGTTCTCCAGTTACCATATAGTCTTCGTGTGTAGACAAGACTACATCTATGACAAAATAAACAAGCAGGAAAAAGAAATACGGCTGTTGTGACAACAACCTTTCCAGCCTTCTTTATCCATTGTAAAGAAGGCGAAAAGGGCACAAGCCCAATTTCCCTTCCATTATAGGTCACCTTTTAAATGCCCTTACTAACAGAGCTCCTGATCTGAGAGGTGCTGAGCCATGGGTGGAAATCAGTGGGAATTGTCAGTGCTCATTACCTCTTGGAATCTGGCTCATGGATTTTTTAAGTAGAGATACAAATGTGGAGAGGAGAGATTGGGCTCATCCATGTGATAGGATGATGCAGTAGGGCACAAAACACTAGCAAAATGATGGGTACAATGATCAATAGTAGAATAAGATACTTGTGTGTTCCTTACTATATTTTAATTCAGATCTGTGATACTAACATTCCTTGAAACCTTACCTGGATTTCTTTGCCATTTAGAGACTTCAGTGGAAATCATAACATAAGAATTAATCCAACCTCAGTCACCAGATCTAGGAATTATTTTGGAGAAGTTCTATGGCCTATGCTATGCAGGAGGTCAGATTAGATTATCACAATGGTCCCTTCTAGCCTTAGAATCAATAAAAAGGACTCATTTACATGGCTATGTGTTTTCTTTTTCTTCTGTTGTTGGTAACGGTCTATGTGTGCCTCTCTCTCTTTCTCTCTCTTTTACAGGTGAAATAGCTCTGTGGTCCCTAGTCGTCTTGGCCATTGAAAGATATGTGGTGGTCTGCAAGCCCATGAGCAACTTCCGATTTAGTGAGACCCATGCCCTCATGGGTATCATTTTCACCTGGGTCATGGCCCTGGCCTGTTCTGCTCCTCCATTGTTTGGATGGTCTAGGTATGGACTGAACATTTTCTGACATGATGCCCCAGCTAGCATGGTGTTAGCAGCAGTTAATGAGGTGTTTTACGTATTTCTGTAGCAGCATTCCAAGTAAAGCAACCTCATTCACCAGTTCAAGGGCAGACACTAATCTCATTGGTTTAACTGCAGGTACATCCCAGAGGGCTTGCAGTGCTCATGTGGAATTGATTATTACACTCTGAAACCTGAGGTCCACAATGAATCTTTTGTCGTCTACATGTTTGTGGTTCATTTCCTCATTCCATTGATCATCATTTCCTTCTGTTATGGGCGCCTGGTTTGCACTGTTAAAGAGGTAGGTAGACCTGTTAGAGATGACCAAAAACCTGCATCTGACGCCTATTCTCCCCTACCCCAAATACTGGGAGATTTCAGATCCAGATCTGAACTCTGCAGCTGGCTCCATCCCTGTAGTGAAATGAACCATAACCCCAGAGCTAATCAACCCTGATATTTGGGAAGCTAGGGTGATGTGAATTTGATGTTTGTAGCTCATCACACCCCTAAACCCTTCACAAACTCCCTGGACAGTCAATTTCAGCATGTCTCCCAGATACTCCTGGGGGAATTCTGCACCACTGCATACGTGCAGAATTCATGTCCCCCGCAGATTTCTTTCCTCCCCCATAGAAAATGGTGGGGAAGCAAATGGAAGCTGTAAGAGCGGTCACATGCCCCTCCCCAGCAGCACGGGTGCATCATTTCGGGCTCCTGGAGCAGCTGGCGGAGAGGTAAATCACCACAGGGGGGTGGGGGCAGGGCTGGGGATGCCCCTGCTGGTGGCTCCTACCCTGTGCCGGACTCAGCTGCTAGTTCCACCTGGGCTAGGGGTGAGGAAGGACAGAATTTCCTACTTGTTCCCCTGCAAGGAGCAGCTGGGGCTAGGGCTGGGACCGGGTCAGACCCACTCCCACAAACCTCCCCCAGCTGCCGGAGCTCTGGACCCTCCACCTGCTTCCTGCCCCCTTGGCTCCTCAGAAGCAGGGGGAGGGGTCACTATACAGGGAGCTGCTCCCCTGTCTGCCCAGCTCTCTGTGCATCTGGACCCCCCACAAATTCTCCCCTGCATCTGGACCCTGCATCTGCACCCAGCCCCCCACTCCACTGAGCCCCAACCAGCTGGACACAGACTTTCACCCCACCAAGCGCCATTCCTCCAGCATCCGGACTCCAACCCCACTGAACCCCCACACCCAGACCCCCCTTGCCGAGCTCCATCCCCCAACACCAGACCCCCACCCCGCTGAGCCCCAGCTACTTTCACCAGGAACTCTCTGCAGAGTCCCATTGCCCTTGCACCCAGAACCCAACAGTGAGCCCCTGTGCATCCAGATCCCCCCCTGAGCTGCCTGCACCCAGATTGCCCCACACAGAACCCTCTCACCCCACACCTGGATCCCTCCACACTAAGCCCCTCCACACATGGATCCTGCTGGGCTGAGCCTGCCCACACTGGGATTGGGGGCCAAGGCTGGGCATGCATGTGAGACTCTATCCCTCTCACTTACTATCTCGGTGCACCTGGCGTGGAGGGACAGGGCTCCGGGGTTTCTGGGGCAGGCCCGGCCCTTGCACTGTGTCAGGGTCAGGTGCAGCCTCGCCACCAAGTCCATGTCCCAACCGGGGCTGCAGGGTGATCTGCCACCTCCATGCAGCCGGTGGCCTGTGCTCCCCGCTGCCACGCTGGAGCCTCCACATTTATTTATTGACAAAATATGCAGAATTTTAAAATATTGTGTGTAGAATTTTTATTTTTTTAGTGCAGAATTCCCTCAGGAGTACCCAATCTATCCCCTGCAGCACCATCATCATTTCAGTGGTCTTATCTCTTTAGGCTGCAGCTCAGCAACAGGAATCAGCCACCACTCAGAAAGCTGAGAGAGAAGTTACTCGCATGGTCATCATCATGGTTATTGCGTTCCTCATTTGCTGGGTCCCCTATGCCAGCGTCGCTTTCCACATTTTCACCCACCAGGGATCTGACTTTGGCCCTGTCTTCATGACCATCCCAGCTTTCTTTGCCAAGAGCTCTGCTATCTACAACCCAGTGATTTACATTGTAATGAACAAACAGGTAAGTGGCAAATCTCTGGTCTTCTTCTTTATTTATTTATGAATTTCTTAATAGCTAACAGAGAGTTATAGCACTTAGATCGTATTTTTAAAGCTCTTTTTTGCTCAATGTGGCACAAGTGGAGCTTTTTCAAGGCAATTTTGGTTCTGTCATCAAAAGGGACGTTTAATCATTGTGTTGCTGTCCTTTAGTATTACATAAATCTACTGAACGCAACTGGAAGTCATAAGGACTGTCTATTTGAAATGATCAATGCATTGATTTAGTTAAATATCTAGGACTGTATTCTGTTCTCAGTTACAATGGTGCAACCATTTTGATTCAGTAGATATGCACTAGTCTAACAGAGCCAATAATAAGAATACTCAGTAAGGTTAAGGTAATCCTGAACAGAAGCTGTAGCTAGCTCTAGGAAGTGGGAAAGGTTAAGCACATAAATTTGGCAGAGCGAATAAATCATTGGTCTAGCAAGTCTACTATTCTACCTCCAATAATGAGCAGCACCTGGCACTTTAGGGCAACTTAGTCCACAAAAAGCCTTCCCAAAATGCACTTGGCCATCTGTGCAATGCTATATCAGGAGCAGAAATTCCTTCCAGATCCCTGGTATGATCATCTCATACTGCAAAACATGAGCTTCGGTTACCCCCCTTTTTTTTTTTTAGTATTTTTTTATTATTTTAATCGAATATTGAGCTGTTAACAAATTGTGATCTTTCAAGGGTCAACTCATGCTTGCCTCACTCAGATGAGAAGCCCCATTCACTTCAACAGGATTGTTCAGCTAAGGGATCCAATGCAAGTCCCACTGGCGATAAGTCTTTCCACTGACTTCAGTGGGAGTTAGATTGTTCCCAAGGTGTGCAGACTTTTACAAGGACATATCAATAGACCTGAACTGGTCTAATCCAGGAGCTTCTTCATTAGCCACAATTCCTTGAATTTCCCCCCTCATTGCTTTAGTCAAAAATCCCTCCCGGTGCATTACTGATGCATTTAATGTAAGGATATTCACAATGTATAGGGTTGGCTGACGGTTGTCACACTGCCTGCATTGGCTGGTTACCTCTGCCGCCATTGTTTTCTTTTCTAGTTCCGTAACTGCATGATCACCACCATTTGCTGTGGAAAGAACCTGCTCGGTGACGACGACGCTTCTGCTGGCACCAGGACAGAGACTTCCTCAGTCTCCACCAGCCAGGTTTCTCCTGCATAGATTCCTCATGGAAGCTGCTGATCTCAGAGCTGGCATGCCTTGTCAGCAAGGATGCGCAAGTCCCATTTGCATGCATGTAGTCGTGTCCACCATCACCACCGCCTGCATGTGATTCACAGTTAACCCAGCAGAATGGACTTTTCAGTTCTGATAATAGAAATCATTTGAACAAGTTTGTACATATTTTTTTTAATTAAATACAAAGGGCTAGCTCCTCAGCTGGTGTAAATGTGTGTATACCCATTGACTTGTATAGCGTTATCCCCATTTACACTGACCAAACATCTGGGTCACGATCCTTAGCTTCATACAGAGGGGCGAATGTTCTCCTTTCACAGAATGGAAAAGATGAGTAAGGCTGCAGCCTTGTGGATTCATCCCTACCATGGCATCTGTTCTGGATGCGAACCACAGGGGCCATGGTTAGGAAAGCCCATAGTAAAGAGCCAAGATACAGCAATCTAGCAGGGGATGAGGTATACCCGTGTTACAAAGCTGGGATCAGTGGGGGTGCATGAAACCTAGTGACCACTGGCTAGGGTTGCCACCTCTCCGGGTTTTTACCTGGACAATCTGATTTTTGGCTTCTGTGTCCAGGTGCCATATAGAATTGCCAGGTGCCCGGTTTTTGACTGGAAAGTCCAGTCAAAAAGGGGACCAGGCAGTGTCTGGTCAGATGTACTGACCAGACACCACAAATCTGGTTACCGCAAGGCAGGGGAAAGCACATGGTCATTAACCCACACCAGCTCCTGCTCAGCTGGGGCCATCTCCTACCTCCAGGAGGCTCCTTGTCAGGTTGCTGCAGCTCCCGTCCCAGCCTTAGAGAAGAGGGAGCCCAGCTGGGGTAGATGAGGGGTGGGGGAGAAGAGGGACGTGGAGACGATCCAGCAAGTGGTGGGGGAAGGAGCGAACGACAGGGGCGGGGCCTTGGGGAGAACAGGCAGAGCAGGAGCGGGGGTTTGGGGGGAAGAGGTGGAGAAGGGGCTGGGGAAGAAGTGGAGAAGGGGGCAGGGCCTCGAGGGTCTGGTTACCAGCTGTTAGAAAGGTAGCAACCCTAGTGCCAGTGACATTTAAGGGGTTACAATGTTACAATTTAACCATTAAATAGAATAATGAATAATCTTGGGGAGGATTCTGGTCTTTCCCCTGCTGCACACACAAACTCCCCTGCACACAACCAGTTAGCTATGCGGTGCACAAGGAATAGGATTTAAACCGTAAGCAACAGCTGATTTGCAGCGTCTTTTCCGTAGCATGTGACATTATATTTCCATGGTAACATATATAGTCATTTGGCTTCTCCCTGACTCCTCCTACATGTCCATAGACCACACCCCTATAGTTTGAGCTCTTTATGGTTCTCCTGTGGTTCACCTACCAATTTTCAGCTGTAATTTGATTTGGCATCGCACCAAGTAAGAGGTTTTGGCCAAGGCTTGTGCTTTTTGAGGATTGATTGGTGGCACATTGCTACGCTTTTCTTCTCTTCATAGCAAGCAAGCCAAGGGAGCATATGGCCCAGAGATTTCAACATATGTTTAAAGCGCTAAAAGATGGCATAATGCAATTGTACCAATGTTCTTTATTTTTATTTTTAGCTCAGTTATACAAATAAGATGTTTTTCTTGCCCTTCTGTTATCAACATTTGAAACTATTCTTGTATAGTATATCTTCTCCAATTTCTAATTCTATGCAGCTTTGCAAGATCTGATAGAGAAGGTCTATAGAAACTATGCAAGTTAAACCTTTAATAAAGAGCAATTTGCAAGTACAAGTCTCTCGTTATTTATTTTTAATTGATACTTCTACATATTCAGTGAAATCTGAAGCTCAAAGGTTCATGATCATTCAGTGGTTAGGTTGAAGGCTCATTCATATGCTCAGAATCTGAAATATTTTTTTTGGTAGGAAAGAAAAGGAAGGGTTTTTTTGTTTGTTTTTTTTAGTTGTCCAGTTATACTTTCCTCTACAGGAATAATGGAAGAGCTTAGGATGGCTGACAATAAACCTTGCAGTTTTGACAGAGTCATGGGGCTGCTGATATATCTAAGGGAGTGGAGGTGGTTACTCTGAGCTGTTTTTGTGTCTGATTAAACACATCACATCTAGAGCTGGAGGAGAAATAGTTTTCCTGTCCCATGAACCTTTTTGAGATTTCGAACAATTTTCCTATCCCCAAAAGGTCAAACTCTTGAACATTTTCATGAACCAAAAATTGAAGAAAAATTCAGTGTTGGGTCAATTGAAATATTTCATTTGATAATTTCAAAGCATTTTGTTTCTATTTTGACTATTTAAAATTTGTTACAAGTTTTTTGTAGCTTTAATTAGCTTGAATGTGGAAACAAATGTGGAAACAAAAAGCCATTTTCAAACCAGGAGTTTCCAACAACTTGGAAACTTCTTTTTTTCAAAACATTTTTTGAATTGAAAACGTTATCTGAGCTGACTCTTTCCTGAGGGAAGTTTTGGCTTTGATGAATCAGCATTTTTTGGATGAAAAAAACATTTAATTAATAATTTCCCAGCCAGCTCTAAGCACACCTTCTTCTGCCATGACTCTGCTTTTCTGATTTCATAAAGTGGTTCTGCTCCGATGTTAACTGGAGAGTTTAGTTTCTTTTGCTCATATTGAGACAAATATTTTTGACGCGCTAGCAAATACAGAGATGATATGGCCCTAATTCTCAGGTAAATAGTTTATTCCTCCAATCAGAGTGAAGTTAGCAACAGCATCAGGTAGCCAACTCACTGCCATGTTTAGCCACAGAACCACCTGGGTCACAGCAGTGTAGCCTTCCCCTAGCCTGCTCTATATATGTGCCCTGGCACTGGCCTGGACGGATGGCTGGAAGGGGTAAAAGAGTAATTCAGTCACCACAGTTCATGCAATTACAGGAGTCTCTGTTGATGTCACTTCCAGTTGTGATGGGCGTGATTTTGTGATGTGGAACTGAGCCCATCACATTTTTTTCATACAGGCCTCCACCAGCCATCAGATGGTAATTCCTGCCCTAGCACAGGTTTGAATCGGCAACCAAATGTGAAAGGTTTAAAGTGCTCAGTGACCTAAAGGGGAGATGATACCAGCACCTCAGCTATCTAATGCCTCCTTTAGGGGCATCGTTGATTTATTGAAATGCCTCTGTCTATACTGGGAGCTGTGGTGAATCCAGGGTTTTGAGAACAGAGCTCTATTCATACTGAAATCCCAGCTGGGAGAAGTGGTTGAGCATTCTGCTGAAATGCTTTCCCTTTTCAAACCCAGTGACCTGCATGAGAGGCACTAACACTGTCCACACCTTCCCACCACTGAACGTTGTCCTGAGCATGGTCACACAGCGCGCCAAATGACCATGGAGAGCGCGTGGGCGAGAGGCTGTGCCGTGAAAGGTCCTCCATCAAATCCTGATATAGTCACATAATTCCTGCCCAGACAAAAACTTCCATTGGACTTGATTGAATGCTGCTGTCCTGGAATAGAAAATAATGACTCTAATCCATTCAAAACAAAAGAATTAACTCTTCCAAATGAAGGCGGGAGGAAGAGAGAGACATTGCTCTTTTGTTACGCCAGGACTTGTAAGCCACTCTGACACTATAGTGATGGGTGCAGCATAGAGGTTTTATTATTATTATCTGTTGTTTCTCTCGTGGTATTCCATTGCACTGGGGCTGTTCACACACAACCCACTGGTTAGTGAGGCTGCCAGGTCCTCCTCTGTGCCCAATCTGCAGAGGCTATAACTATGTTGCAGCTCCACCAACAGAGCATCTTGGCTCTTTAAGCTCAAGCTGTAGCTCATTGCTTTGGTTCTGGAGATTCCCCTCGTCATGCTCTGCTGGGTTAGCCAAGATGGTGGCTGACATGCACACATGGAAAGGTCACACATTCCCAGTGCTAGGTCATAACCTAGGCTTGTGACTGGGTGAGGCAGGCAGGAGCCAAGGGGTCACAGTAAAATGAGCATGCTTGCATAGCAGGCAGTAGTAAGTAGGCATTAATCCTGCAGTTGTTACACCTTCCTTCCAGAGAGAGGGCTTCAGGTTTTATCCCGTTGAGCAATCAAATGCAAATGGCTGCCACTTAGCAATGTTCAATTCCAGTTTTGATATGTGAGCTCAAATACTACTGTGATGCTGGCTGAAGATGGTCACCCTGCTGGTTTCTGGCTGCTGGAGCGAAGGCCAGGATCTAACTCAATTACTTTTGATTACATCAACTCAATTGATTTCCGCTTTTACTAGTTCTTTGCAGACTTTAAAAATAAGATATTTCCGGACAGATTTTTGCAAGTTCTTAGGTGCTATAGATTCATAGATTCATAGATATTTAGGTCAGAAGGGACCATTATGATCATCTAGTCTGACCTCCTGCACAAAGCAGGCCACAGAATTTCACCCACCACTCCTGCAAAAAACCTCACACCTATATCTGTGCTATTGAAGTCCTCAAATCGTAGTTTAAAGACTTCAAGGAGCACAGAATCCTCCAGCAAGTGACCCATGCCCCATGCTAAAGAGGAAGGCGAAAAACCTCCAGGACCTCTTCCAATCTGCCCTGGAGGAAAATTCCTTCCCGACCCCAAATATGGCGATCAGCTAAACCCTGAGCATATGGGCAAGATTCATCAGCCAGATACTACAGAAAATTCTTTCCTGGGTAACTCGGATCCCACCCCATCTAATATCCCATCACAGGCCATTGGGCCTATTTACCATGAATATTTAATTACCAAAACCATGTTATCCCATCATACCATCTCCTCCATAAACTTATCGAGTTTAATCTTAAAGCCAGATAGATCTTTTGCCCCCACTGCTTCCCTTGGAAGGCTATTCCAAAACTTCACTAAAGTCTTATAACCATTCCTGTAAAAACTCCCAAAGGATTATGTAAGAATATTTTTATTGATCCCAGAAATGCAGCCATCTCTAGTGTGAAACACTGAGTCTATTTAACAGCTAACAGCAACACTGCACAACAATTTAAACCAGAAAGTGAAGAAGCACAGAAACTGGGGTGAAGGGGAGGGGAATATGTGTACGGAGAATGTAATGACCCAGTTTGAATTTGGCCAGGACACTGGAATTAAAGCCCAGAATCTTTACAAAAGAAAAAACCCACCAGGGGTTCTTTAGTGACCACCAATTATCAGTTTTATATCTCATTGACAAGACAGTAAGTACCTCCTACAGCACAATTCCCCCATCATTCTGCCGCAGAATCAGCTCAGGCGGAGGGAAGAGAGCTAGAAACACCCAGTGGAAGAGAACTAGAGCAAAACGTTGTAGGCATCAGAACATCTCAGATATTAACATCTGACTTTCTTATTGTGGACGAGCAGAGCTTATTCTTTAATTTCAGCAGAAAGACCCAAGTGAGGGATGAAGTGATAGTTCTGCTCACTGTACAGCAGGTAAGTCCTCTAGGGAGCAGACCCTGGCTTCTTTAAGAACACCTGCAATGCTAGCTTGGAAGAATCATTTGCTCCATCCATCACTAGTGAACAAAGACTCTTTTTTTCTCCCCTCTTTGATTTACGGAACCTCTTTGTTTTTCCTTTAAAAACTGAGTGAAGTTAGTGCTTATGAAAACGAGGGGCTGAACAGCACTAGCTTGAGCCAGTTAAAGACGAGGCCTGCCCAGTAAAGGTTTCTCTCGCAGTCCTGCCAGTGTACTTCTGCCCTGACCTCAGCATCCCTTGCTGTTCCAATCCAGGGTCCTGGAGCACATAGCCTGCCAAAATGCATGAACATGAGGCTAGCAAGCTCATGTGAGGACTAATCCTGTGTGGGGCTGAGTGCCTCCTGTGAGATGCCCAGGGCCTTGCATGTCTGCTGACGTTAGTGGTAGGAAATGGTACTCAGCAGGCTCAGGTCCCTTGTGCCCTAAAGCAGGATGAGAACACAGACCACCAGGAATGCGTGATGAATCTGGGTGCTCTACTCTGTGGCTTCATCCAGCCTAGGGAAGCCTTTTCACAAACTCACTCTCCATTTCCTTGATTTTGCTGCTGACTCAGTCGTGCAATGCCAGGTGGGTTGCCAGGTGTCCGGTTTTCAATCAGAACACCCGGTCGAAAAGGGACCCTCCCCAGTCTGGTGTAAATGAGCAAGTGAGTGAGGGTGGGGGAGAGCGAGCGATGGAGTGAGAGGGGATGGAGTGAGCGGTCTGGGGCCTGAGAGAAGGAGCGGGGCAAGGGTGTTCGGTTTTGTGCAAATAGAAAGTTGGCAACCCTCACACTGTCCCTTTAAGGTGTAAGTGCACAAAGAACATGGGCTCAGTATGTCCAGCCATGTATGTATTCCCATCACACGTACACTCTGAACACTGGGATGGTCCATTCTGTTAAAATCAGTGATGTACCACCCACATCCCAGGCCTCCTACTGCCACTTCGGCGCATGAGCTGACACAGGGCACAGTTTCACTTGTAAATTACATTTTCCAAATGAGGGGCTGCTACTTTAATCTGTAAATTGAAGGCAATTGTTAGACTAATCCACAAGAACCTTTATCATTTTTGGAATCCTCCCCCCTGAATATTCTCCCCAACACCCACCAGCCTGTTGCAAAGAGTGGGCAAACTAAACTCAGCACTGCTGCCACCTGTTCCTAATCTCCCTGGCACTAGGATTGAACAAAAATAATTAGCAGCTGCCAACTGCAGCCCTCTCAATTAAGATGCTAATCAAAGGAATTAGCAGGAAAGTGAGATGAACCTGTCAATAAAGCTGGCTTTGCAGCCAGCTTAACTAGGCCTCTTTTAAGATAAAGTTTTGTTGCTTTTTTTTAAAGTTTAGTGTTAGTATTAAAGTTTCTTGCAATGGACCTCAACCCAGGTAAGGAAAGACACTTAAACAAAAATTCTGAATTTGCATGCTTCTTCCTTGTTTATCTTTTTGTCTCCACTGAATGTGAAGTCAAAGTTCTGATCCCCTTTGGTACAAATGAATTCTCTTAGGTATCAATCTGTGTCACTGTTATTTTCTTACTAAACTGCAGCCTCTCTGGGAAGGGGCTGAACTTGGTTTCTCTTGGTGTATTTAAAGGAACTTACTTAACCCCCTGAACTCTTTTGGCTTGATGAAAAGCTCTGAGCTCCACTCAGGGCAGCCTGTGGAGAAGCTGGTGTGTACAGAGCTTAGCAGGCTTAAGAGAGAAATGGTCTAAACTTCCTGGAGTCTGGCTAGTGTTCAAGAGGCCCTTTAGCATCTTCATGTTGCTCTGATAAATAACATTACTAATTGTGCCTCCTGATAGGAAGCAGAATGGCTGTGTGGTTAAACATTGGACGGGGCACTCTTGGGTTCCCTTCCTAGCTTGCCCCTAGGCTTTTTGTGTGACCCTAGATCACGCAGACTCTGTGGCCTCAGTTACCCACCTGTAAAATGTAACTGATACTGCTTCCTTTGCCTATTTAGCCTGTCAGCTGGAGGTGTGATCTGCAGCTCATGTAGGCATACCGGTGCTAGCTTTCCTCTAGCTAGCATGCTGGAAGTACTAGTGATGACCCAGCAGCATGGACTGCATAAGGCTGCCTGGAACTCTGGGGAGGTACTTGCATTACCAGCCCATGCTGATACCTGCACCACCATATCCTTACAGCTATTTTTAGCCACATTCGTTAGTTTAAAGCTAGCGCAAATATGTCTTCCCAAACTTCAAATCCCACCTCCAACTACAGTGTAGACGTACCCTGTATGTTTGTACAGTGCCTAGCACAAAGGAGTGCTGGACTTGTAGACGCTACTATAAAAACTGGTTTGTCCGTTCTCCACCTGGGAATTCACTTTAGCTTTCCTGATAACTGTGGTGAATTAAAAGGGAGATTCATACTGGTGCTTGGTTACAAGTAAACAACCTCTTCAATTTACTCTTCAGCTAAAGTAACAAAAGTGGCCAGAATGTCCAGGATCTTTGACCACAAGACCAGAGCTAACCACCCGCCAACTCTAAGCATGGTGATTGAAGCTCTGAAGGCCCAAAATGAGAAAAAAGGCACCTCTGTCATAGCCATCAAGCGCTACATCCTTGCCAAGTACCCAGCTGTTGACCCAATAAGGCTAAAATACCTGCTGAAGAAGGCCCTGACTAAAGGTCTTGACCATGGCTACCTGATCAGACCCCAAAACTCTTTGGCATTAGGGGCAACTGGAAGGTTCAAGGTGAGTGAATTGGCTTTCTACAAAGACCACCTTCAGTGGAAATTTTCTGCTAAAGAAACTGTAGCTTTAGGTAACAGTATAGCAATTGCATGGGCTAGGGCTGTCCTACAGATAACTGGGTGGCAGCACACTTTGCATTGTGGGATGTGCCCCAAATGTTCTCTGAAGCAGTATTTCAAAGAGGAGGCTGGATGGGTGACAACTCTGGGCTAGGGAATGTGGCTTTTTTTGTTTTTCTTCCCAGTTCTTTAAATGGACAGGCAGGGTTGTGAACAGCCTCAACATCAATGGACTGGTGCCCTCCCCTCTGAGTGGGAGAACACAGTACTATTACTGAAGAGCAAACCATAAAGGAGCTTGTTGTTGGCTATCGGTAGATGTGGTATCTCTGCCCTGAAAATATTGATTTCTTCCATGACTTGGTCTCTGGGAGGGCCTGGGACAACTAGATTTTACAATGCAGCTGGGTGAATGGGACAATAGAAAGTGAGTGCCATCCCCAACTACTCTCCAGCCTTGGCTGCAAGGCCTATTGTGATGTCGTGTTACAGAGGATGCTACACAAATTTTTACAGCCAAAGGGAAGGGCTCGTGTAAGCCACCTGCCTCTAATTCAGTTAACACTTCTAATGCCTGCAGACAAGCTTCTGTGCTTGTTTGGCCCTGGGTATAGCACTACCAAGTGTACTAAGTTGCTTGGTAGCGACCCTCAATGCACGCACGGGAGCAGAGCAGTTTCACTGTTCTGTTCTGTTGTACTCCTAGCTGGCATCAGAAAAGCCCAAGCTTAAAAAAATTCTAGGAAGATGGATCCAGCTGGAGAAAAGGCTCCTAAATCAGAAAAGAAGGTGGCAAGGAAACCCAAAGCCAAGGTGACTGCTGATAAAAAAGCAGGAAGTAAAGGTAAGGGCTGCTTCCTTCCCCTAAACTAACATCCCCTGCTGAGATGTCAGCTGTATGCAAGGAGGTCAGACCTGTGAATTTTAATGCCACCCAAGAAGACAAATGTCCGTGCTCAGGGAGAGGGCTTCAGGATTTCCTGTACAGCAGTGAACTTGACGGACAACAGTAAGTATATAAGCTAGAATCCAAACTGCTGATTGCAGGAAGCAGTGGTGGAAAGACACCTGGCTTTGAAAACTAGCCATGTATTCTGTGTGTCTGCTGTGGGCCTGATCTTCAGAACATTTGTAGCAGCTACTGACTTCAAATGGTGCTCATTATTTCTGGAATATTGGGATCAAGGTGGGCACCCAAAATCAATGGCCAATTCTGAGAACATGTCTGGATTTATGCGTTTGCTCAGCCCAGAAGCCTGCTGCCTAGTTGCCTCCAGTTCGGAGAGTTTGTTACCTAGTCTTCCGAAAGAACACATTGACTTCAATGGGAGTTAAGAATTGAAGTGCCCTCATGGATCTAGGCCTTAAGTGCCTAAGAAATGAATTTCTCAGAGCTGGGTTGCTGCCTAAATTAGCCAGGAGCGAAATGCTGAGGAGAGGGGCTTAGGTGCCTAAGCGGCTGATGTGGTGCACCTGCCTGATGGCCCAGAGAGCGGTGCATCCCTCTCCTGGGTGAGACCCCCTACGTCTGGTCAGCTGCTTAAGTTGCCCATGCTCTAGCAGCTGAAACGCTCCGTACCGCTCGCTCTTCCGCTATTTCCCTGCGCTGTCTCTTAAGCGGGTGCTGTGCTGCCCCCATCCTATTGGTCTGCCTCCAGCCCTGCTACTGTGGGGTCTGACGGCTCTTAGGCATGCTCAGAGCATGGCCACAGGATCGGGACCTGCTGGCAATCTAGGCATTCCCATGCCTAGGTTGCGCTCGCTTTTCAGGACCTCTGGTGCTTTGGTTTAAGCAAGGGTTCCAAGCCTCTCATTTGTCTGTGCTGCAACTAGACCGCTTTGACCGCGGAAACGTAAGTGCGTGGGGTGTTTACCTACCAGGGTGGGGGTTGGGCAGCAGTGCCTGAGCTTTGAAAACCTCCATGGTGCTTGTTCGGTACCTAAACTCCTTAAAAATCTGCCCCTAAATCAATGGTGCAGGGTTCAAGTAGCTTGCTCTATCTTCAAGGTGGAGTCAGCATGCCAGGGCGACCGCTTTGTAGATGCAATCTGATGTCAGACCTGCGTTGATCCCACAGGGAGGCATTTTTCCTGTTAAATTAGCAGGGGCACTTCTAGGTCTGCACTAATAATACCTGAGCTTTGCTCAGAAGCTTAGGCCAGGAAGATCCAGAAACCATTAAATATCATCCTTGTATGGAATTGACAATCTTGTAAACATAAGTTACTGACTCATCCATGTCATTTCTTTCCCATCTTCTCAACAGATGCTAAGGAGGAGAAACCAAAACCTGTGAGCAAGAAAGCCAAGGCAAAATCCACTAATGTAAGTACTGGTTGCCAAATGAAGGATTCCATCTGTCTACCTTGCACAGCTCTGTGAGTGCTTCACTTGTGACCAGCTTTAGGAGCTGCTGCTGTTGTGTGTTCCTGTCTTAAGGAACTTTCCTGACTCTGTGGGGAATGTTGGAAAGGAAACCGCTTCCCGCTCTAGAGTCCTGAAGCGTTAACTCTGTTCTTCAGGCTGCGAAGGAAATTGGCACTGCTTGATTGGCTGTTTCTAAAACGCATGTCTTACCATGCAGAATAAAGGCCGCACTTCTGAATTCAAAGCTGCTGTCTAGAAGAATAATAAACTAACTGGCACAGGCTTGTGGGTGACCCAGTACATGCTATTGCAGTGACCTTCATCCTACTCTCTTGTAGGCCCAGCCCAAAGCTCCTGCTAAGCTGAAGACACCCAGTGATGCTCGAAACATTGTGAAAGGTGACAAGAAACCAAATATGAAAGAGGCATCCCAAGCCAGGGTGGTTGGGACCAAGAAAGCCACCTCCAGAGGGAAGCCAGCCACAGAAGCAGATGGTGCCTCCAAAGCAGAGGCAGAGCATGGAGACAAGATCAGGACTTCCAAAGGCAAGGGGGCAGCTCCTCGGGCCGCGGGGGCTGCGAAAACAAAGGTGGCTAAAGGTGGAAATGGGCCGACCAAAGCAAAGGCAGCTGGCGGGACAAAGAAAACCACTGCCAAAGGGAAGACTGAGGCAAAGGGCCCTGCAAAAGGCAAGGGGAAGAAGCCTGAGGCAGCCACAGGCTCTTTCTTCAGCAAAGAGAAGGATGCAGAAGGTAAAGCCTCTAGAACTGGCAGCAAGCTTAGCAAGAAAGCAACCTAGGGCTTCCCTGCACTGAAGGGACAACTGCTTTGGGTGGGGGATGAGGCACGTGTGCAGACTGGCTGTCTCCAGCCTGAGGAACACAGCCACTCTGTCTCCCGGTTCTAAATGGGCCCAAACAGGGTTTTTAAACTATGCTGAAGTGTGCTCCAGTCACTGCTGTTAACATCTCTTTTAATCTCCGGTGAACTAAGCTAACTGATTTTAATCTTGCGTCTTTTTTTTTTTTCCCCCCTTCAATAAAGTTACTGCATCCTAATAACTAAACCCTGTTACTGGAGTCCTGCTCCTCCCGCCTGGGGTAAGGACCTGCCAGGTCATCTTGACACACCCTGTCATAACCCTGGAAACTGCGAAGCATCAATTCCTTCTGCCTCTTCCCTCCTACCCCCTGCAAACCCAGCTAGGTTGAAACCTGAGCTTGAGCCCAGCTGTGGTGGATTCCAGCCTCGTAATTAGGACAGTGATAAATGCCAGTTGGGTGAAAGGGAGCAAACTGCGAGTGTGGCAGCAGTCCAGGAGTTGGGGGGGAGAATCACATAGGGCTAATGAACAAAATACATTCACATTCTGGAACTCCATCCCTGAAACTGCAGCCACATTCTGCAGACATGCCCTCTGGCTCCAGCCAGTGTTGGGTGTCCAGCCCTCATGAACCCCTAGGTTGCTGGGCTACATTCGTTATACAAACTTGAGGAAAGGGCCCAAGCCATCAATCACAAATGTAGCACTGCTGTAGTGATGTTCAGCCTCTAAACTTCTGCAGCCTAGTGCTATGATTAGGGCAGAATGCCTCCAATTAAATCCTAGCTTAAGGAAGAAGCCAAGCTAGCACATGCTAGCTAGGCATGACCCTGGGGAGGAGTGGCCTGTTGCTAAAATCCCACTTGCTAGAAGGTCTGAACTCTGGGACTTGTGTGTGTTGCCCTTCTTAGTAAGGGCACCAATAGATACTGGTGCCTGTGTGGCTTGTAATTTCTACTAGGAATAGCTCCAGGTAGGTACAGATGTCCTAGGCCCCCTTCATCTGTGTCTTTGTGCAGAGTGCAAAAGCTTGTGATGGGTCACAGTGGTGGGGGAGGGGGTGGGGTAGGTCTAACAGTGCAGCTGGTATTTTTGTGTGTGTGTATGTGCAGAGAGGCTTTGGATAGACTCTAACTGACCTGGTCAGTGTTCCCACCTCCAGGCAGAGTAACTGCTGTTTGTCCTGTTATAGGGTTCTAGGGAGTTGAGAGAACTTTATTTCTCCTCTGCTCCCCCCATCCAATTGACTCAATGGCAAGTGGACCAATCCTTTAATTGAATTTGTATTCTCTGTGGGGGAACTCCATGGCAGGAAGGGTAGCCACTGCTCTTCCTTAACCTCTGCTGTGGTTAGTACTACTTAGCATCACAGCACAGAGGTGGATCAGCCCACAGTCTCCTTTCCTTGTCCTTGGGGGGGCCTGAGCACAGTGAATGAGACGCTCTCCAGCCTTTCCTAGTGGAGCCTGCCAGCCACCAAAACAGAAGGCAAATGGGCTCTGCTTCCGCACCCTGCCTGTAGCTCTTCTCCACAATGTTAACTCCTTTGCTGTTCCTCTCGGTGCATGTGGAGCAGGTCCTAGTGGCGGGTTGCTTGTCAATGACTGGAGCAATAAGGACCCCGAGGAAGGAGGGTTGCCAGGTGTCCAGTTTCTGACTGGAATGTGCAGCTGACCCGATGCTAAAAGTCTGGTTACCTGCAGTAACTGGCCACTGCCATCAGGCCTGACCGAGAACTTGCTGGCTTCCAGAGCAGGCTCCAAAGTAGGTACCAGTGTGTGTATCCCCAACCTGTTTGCCCTGATTTTCCCCTCTTCAGGGACTAACCCCTCCTCCCCCTGCACTCCACTGTGCCCTGGTTTCCCCAGCCCCTTGCTCCAGGGACAGACCCCTTGGCCTTACTGTGCCTCGATTTCCCCTCCCTGGCCCCTTGTTCCAGGAACAGATCCCTTGGCCCTGCTGAACCTTGATTTCCCCTCCCCAGGCCTTTGCTCCAGGGACTGCCCCCCTGTGCCATGATTTACCCACCCTGGCTCTAGGGAGCAACCCCCCTGTCCTGCTGTACCTTGATTTCTCCACCCCAGCCCCTTCCTCTGTGGACTGATCCCTGCTGAAGGTACTAAACCAGTGGTTCCCAAACTTTTGTACTGGTGACCCCTTTCACAAAACTGAACATGCCCTGCCCTGCCCTGCCCTGCCCCCACGCACTCAATTTCTTCCCCCCTCCCCCATCGCTTGCTCTCCTCACCCTCACTTGCTCAGGGAGTTGGGGTGTGGGAGGGGGTGAGGGCTCTGGAATGGGGCCAGGGATGAGGGGTTTGGGGTGCAGGAGGATGCTCTGGGTTGAGACCAAGGGGTTTGGAGGGTAGGAGGGGGATCAGGGCTGGCTTGGGGCATAGGAGGGGGTCAGGGGTGCAGTCTCGGGGTGGTGCTTACCTCAGGCAGCTTCCGGAAGCAGCGTCATGCCCATCCCTCGGGCCCCTACATGGAGCGCCAGCGTTTGCAATCGCCACCTCCTGCAGCTCTCATTGGCCGTGGTCACGACACGCGGAGCCCGCTGGCTGCCCCTACACGTAGGAGCAAGGGGGGGATAGGCTGCTGCTTCCGGGAGTCACGTAGAGCCATGGAAGACAGGGAGCCTGCCTTAGCCCCCCTGTGCTGCTGACTGGACTTCTAACAGCATGGGCAGCGGTGCTGACCAGAGCTGCCGGGGTACCTTTTTGACTGGGTGTGCCGGTAAAAAAAACCAAACACCTGGCAACCCTAGCTGCAGCTCCCAGCCCCAGCTCTGCAGGTGAGTCCCTCCTGCCCCAGGTGGTGGGGGGTGAGAGGGGAAATCAGTGAGTGATTGGGGGCGGGGGGGAGGAGAGATGGGGCAGGGGAGGTTCCAGCACTCATGATGGTGTGTCCGTTTCTTAAATATTACCAAGGTGGCAATGTGAGGTGTCACGGGCATTCTCAAAACCACTGCTGAGGTGCTGCCCACGGCTAACAAGCTGCTTGGAGTGCTCACTGACACCACAATCCCTGGCTCTTGGGTGCCCCAAAGTAAGATTTTTTTTTTCTCCCCTATCTGGGTGCTCTGTTGCCTAGCTCATGACCAGGGGGCCAATCCTGCAGGGGTTCTCAGAGCATATCTATGACCTGCTACTTGGCACAAAGACAGCCAGGGCAGGCAGGTCTGGAGTGTGAGTGTGTGTGTCAAAAGTGATGAGGGGACGCAGCTGGGATGTGGGAGACCTAAGTTCAAATGCCTGCTCTACCTGATTTATGTGGAGCAGGGACTTGAAACCAGGCTATTAACTATCTTGTGTGCATGTGTCTCTTTGCATGTTGGCTACCTAGGACAGGTCAGCTGCTTAGGTGCCAGGAGTGGGCTCACAGTTGAGAACTCAGCACAGATCAATGGTAGTCAGGTGCTGTCAGGGTTCCCTCCCCGCTCTGGGGTACAGATGTGGGGACTCGCATGAACCCCCCCCCCAGCTTATTTCTACCAGCTTAGGTTAAAAACTTCCCCAAGGCACAAATCCTTTCCTTGTCCTTGGACGGTATTGCTGCCACCACCAAGTGATTTAGACAAAGATTCAGGAAAAGGACCACTTGGAGTTCCTATTTCCTCAAAATATCCCCCCAAGTCCCTTCACCCCCTTTCCTGGGGGGGCTTGAGAATAATATACCAACCAATAGGTTAACCAAGTGAGCACAGACCAGACCTGTGGCTTTTTAGGAAACTAAAAATCAATCAGGTTCTTAAAAGAAGAGCTTTATAATAAAGTAAAAAGTAACTCTGTAAAATCAGGATGGAAGGTAATTTTACAGGGTAATAAAAAGATTTAAAACACAGAGGATTTCCCTCTAGGCTCAACTTCAAAGTTACAAAAAACAGGACTAAACCTCCCTCTTAGCATAGAGAAAATTCACAAGCTAAAACAACAGATAATCTAACACATTTCCTTGCTATTACTTACGATTTCTGTAATTTTAGATGTATCATTTCAGTAGGAGCTGGATTACGTGCTTGGTCTCTTTGTCCTGAGAAAGAACAACAAAGAGAACACAAATAAAGCCCCCACTGGCCAGATTTGAAAGGATCTTATTCCCTTTTTGGGCCTTTTGGTCAGGTGCCACGCATGTTATTTGAGCTTCTTAATCCCTTACAGGTAAAGGAGGGATTTTATGCTACCCTTCGCTGGATGTTTGACAGGTGCTTAAATATCTTTTGAGGATCTAGGTCTAAGCTCCTCTTTGTTCTTCTGCATTTCACTCTGGGCTAGTTTACTCATCTCCCCACTCAGCCTGGGGGCTTCTGAGGCTCCCAGCCTTACTGCATGGAGGAGAGCTAAGCACCTATGTGGGGACTGTCGGGGTGCCTAACTCAGGACTGAGGAGTCGACCAGGTGGCAGGCTCTTGAGTAGATATGGCCACTGTTTGGGGCTGGCCTTAGCTGACAGGAAATGGAGGGGATCATCGCCTTTTTATGTTTGCATGAGATTTCATAGTAGCGTGGGAGCTGAGCACTCACTCGTGTTTATAAACCGATGTAGCTATAACCTGTCTGTCATATAAATGCTTAGATATGATGAAAATATCCAGCCCTGTGCAGTAGAATGCAGCCATCTTTCTCACTTTTGGAAGCATAACATAAGGTGACCAGTGAGCAAGTGTGAAAAATCAGGACACAACCTTTCTTTCCCCAGGTGGGGGCGTTTACAGTTGTGTATATATAAGATACAGCCACTAATAGTGGAACAGTCCTGATAACAGCGGGATGTCTGAGCACCCTAGCTTAAAAACCATAGCGTGAGGGATTCTACCTCTGAGCGAGGGCTTGATGTTGGGGTATGTGATACCATGCTTCTCTCAACCCGTGTGCAAATAAATTCCTCCATGAAGGACAGGGGTGGGCAAACTTTTTGGCCTGAGGGCCACAGCGGGGTTCTGAAACCATATGGACAGCTGGGTAGGGAGGGCTGTG